AGGCGCTTATAGTAAGGTGTATATAAATGAGTTTATAAAAGGGGGCGTGGTACATCCCTTGGGAGTGGAATTTTGTTTCAGCTTTAACTTCGGAATCATAAGTCACATGAACTTGAAATTTGGTATACAAACATATCTATGGTAGGTGCTTATAGTAAGATATATATTAATGAGTTTGTAAAAGGGGGCGTAGCACATAACATGGGCGTGGAAGCTTTTATCAGCCATAACTTCGGAATCACAGTCACATGACCCCTTTAATTCCTTCCGATATGCCTTTCGAATTTGAAAAACTTCAGTTTCCGGTTCGCTTAGCTTTTGCAATGACAATAAAAAAGATAAATAAAACCCAACTCTTTATCGAAAATAAAATGTATGATAATTGCATTGGAAAATGAATCTATGTTAATAGATGCATTGAAGTACTAAAAACATGCAGCGGAATAATATTGGAGTTATTATTCGTAAGAAATTAGATAGTTAAAATTTAGTTATTACAATACAACGTTGGTAATTCAACTATTATATAATTTATTAAAACTATTTTAATATAAACTTATTATTGCTTTTCATTCCATAGCACTCCAGCTATACATTTATTTTACGATATTATGCTATCACGGCTTTATTAAAATTAGAGAAGAAATGAAATATAACATCGTTAAATAAAGTATTTTTTATATTTGTATTAAGACGTGGGGTGAAACCCGCGGGTAAAAGCTAGTATGCATATCGTCGTTTAAAGTACAAAACCGCGTGTCGTCATTCTGCAAAACCGCGTAACTGACATTTGTTGCCAAAAATTGGATTTGCTCACACAAGCTCTTGGCTCAATCCTTATTCATTCGTCCTGAAATATACTAGCCAGAAATGCGATTGGTTTATAAAAAAGGGAACCATTTTGAAATATGAGTGTTTTTACTCCCTAGAAAATACTTAATGCAACCTCACATACGCGGTTTTGTATTATCTTGTTACGCGGTTTTGCATTTTGTTGATACGCGGTTTTGAACTTTAAACGACGATACAAATTGATATCAGGAGGGCTGGATGCTGAACAGCGGTCTTGATTATGCGTTTTTATCTATTAAAGATGTCAATTTAAACCGATTACTCAACGTACTTCATATGACTTGAAATTTGGACAGAATTGTATCTAAAGTATATAGAAAATGAATTCAAGTTTGCGTGCCAATTCTTATGGTCTTAAAGTAATTCCAGCCTATGTTGAAGTGCATTGTTGCAAGTATAAGTCAACATACTTCAGACAGGGTGCCCGTGAGTGCGGGCGTGGGGCAGAAAACGTATATCGTTAAAATGCCATGGCGTGTGAGTTATCTATCAACATCAATATTTAGTCCGGTTATGCTTCCAAGCTTGTACTCATTCACCTCGGTTTATTCTTTATTTGCAGATTTTTGCGAATAGTTGAAAATTCATACAAACTTTTGCGGAAATAAAAACAGTAGTGTTTTTGTTTACGTAATTAACAAAATGAAAACGAAATTCTTAAAATTTTCCGCAGGCATTTCGGGAGCGGTTTGAACCACCAAAACCCCTACCTGCGTTCGCCCCTGGTGAATAGTATGCCATGGAACATTGACCGTAGGAACGGGATGAAGCTCGAATTGTGTTTTAATTTACATGTAATACATTTATCTACAAATTTGCCAACGTATTTAGACATATTTTCAAACCAATAATAATCATAAACTTTGTGCAAAGTTTTCTCCCAAACCAAATTCATTATGGATTCATGCACATGATTTCCCTCCAGTATTGCTGGAGTCAATCGCTACTTTTGAACCGCTACTGCACCAACTCCTAGGTAAGTATCTACTCTATTAACCTGTAGTAGTGCACATTGTAGTGCAGAGTCGAACCAGTCCCTGCAGTACTGGAGGGGTCTTAAGCAGAATAGCGAAAAACTACGACAGAGGGCGCCCATAAATCATACAAGTGACTACTTTAGTAACTCCCGGTAGTGCAAAGAGAGCCGATGGTGACTACCGCCTAGGACATTGCCTTGTAAAAGTAATCGATGAAATACACTGCAAGTAGTCGGTCGGTAATTGACGGTGTTTATCAGGTAGCTACCGATTCATCGGTGCTGTAGTCGCAGTCGGACCATCTAAAAGACCTTGGTACTACCGGTAAACATCGAGTTTTGGCATTTCTTTGTATTTTACGAAAAATCGTCCCTGTTTTTGCTAAATCTTCAGCAAGTTCGTTATTGCGTAGTTTAGAAACTAAAAAAGCAATTTCTGTATCTCTCTGTTGTTCAGCAAGATGCCAGCATCGTATCAACATGCTTTTCAACAGTTTTAATTTTAGCTTGCTCTTTTATGGGCAATAAATTACGTGAAAAGAAGTATACATGGGCCATACGCATTCCCTCTCAATAATGAATGTCAAAATCAAAGGATTGTCAGTACGCCCACCAGCGGTGGACTCGCGGAGTCAAATAAATTTTCGTTCGTGACGCTTTTAAAGAGTTACAATCTGTTAAAACCACAAAATGTCGGTCCTGTAAATAATGGCGAAAATGCTTAATTGAATTAACAAAGACCAATGTTTCTTGCTGGTGCAATTCCAATAGTCAACACTAACTGCGCATTGCCTCAAAAGTTTCAACCAAGAAAATCTACTAAGTACTACGCTTAACTTATAAATCCAATAAAATAAATAGTCTTTATGTAACGAAGCCGATAAACATATAGGTATATACATATACATGTATACTAATATAGATAACTAGTAAGAAAAGAGTCAGCTGAATATATTTCTCTCAACACAATATTTGGTAACTATAACCAAATAATTTATTTAGTATATTTTATTTAGTATACGTAACCCTTTTCTCAGTGCAGGATACTATGGTTGTGCCAAAGAAATGCTAAATTTCAGCCTTATTTGACCAAAAAAACCAATTTTAGAAAAATATCTCGACTCTAGCCACTCTTAGCTAGTCCAAACAAACTTGCCAATCTTTTAGGCACATTTAGCACATATCGCCCTAATGGTGCAACTACTGTATGTAAATGCCGAAGATATAACGACAAATGTAACAAGTAAGTAAGTCTAAGTTCGGGGATAGCCGAACATTAAATACCCGGCGCAAGTATTAAATATATGTTTTTCACCTTTCCGAAAGCTACTGCTACGTGGTAAGCCGGGGTGTATAAATTTTGAGTAAATTAACGTCCTAAAATTTAGAAATATTGAAGTTTCAAGCATTTCTGAAATTTACCGTTAAATGAAAAGCGGCCGTAATTTTAGTCCGATTTCAATAATTTTCAACGTTTTGCTTTTACGTGGCAAGCACAATAACCATACCCAGTTTGGTACAAATTGGTAGAACGGATACCGAGATACATATTAGTGATCATAAGTGGGAGGTGCCACACCCATTTTCTAAAATTTTATCGTAAAAGAATTGTTGCAAGCATCAATTTTAAATAAATTAGCTTTAAGATTTACTGATTTATCGAAGATTTTGTATATGTTTAAATTACCGTTATATGGGATGTGGGCGTGGTGGTGGCGATTTTAAAAATTTTATTATGCTGTATCAAGGCCAAGACCTGTGCCAAGTTTGGAAGAAATTGGTGCAGCGGTTACTAAGATATACTCATGTAACCATAAGTGAGCGTGGCTACACCCATTTTCCAAAAAAATTTTAAATTTTTCAATTTCGTCTAAAAATTATTGTAAGTATCAATTTTTAGTGAATAGTCTTCAGTACTCAGCAAACACACTCTAACGTTAGAGAAATTTGGGTTTATACATTTGATAACCTGGGTAGTTCCTTAATCGTTCTCGAGTCGATGACGAAGTTAGAGAACTACATTTGAATTCGATTCGAGAACGATGAGAGAAACAACGCAAATTCAAATAAATGTAAATAAGCAAATATTTAAAATGAATGATTCATAAATCCTGTTTAAGTTCAAGTTATTCGTTAATATATTATTGCAAATATATTTAATACAAATTGTACAAACAAAGCGTTTTAAATTCACATTCGAATCCCATTAGAGATCAACATTAGAATTCGATTAGAGAATTAATATTTTCTCGAGTCGAGAACTATGTCCCATTTTTGTTGAGATCGCGATGATTCTCGATAGTTTTTCGAGTCGCTCTCTAACGTTTGAGATTGCAGAATGTGTCTAGTTCTCTAATCATTCTCAAATCGATAACTAACCTCAATGTTTGCTGGGTAGTAACTAAAATATCGCTGTTTTCGTATTTCTGAAAATTACCGTTATATGGGAAGTGGGCGTGGTTACAGTCCGATTTCGCCCATTTTCAATACCAACCTACCTTGGATAAATGGAAACGTACTTACCAAATTTCGTTGAGATATCTCAATTTTTGCTCGAGTTATCGTGTACACGGACAGACGGACAGACAGACATGGCTTAATCGACTTCTCTATTCATGAGCGTTTATGTATACATTTGTCTATATCTATCTCGATTCATTTTGGCTATTACAAACAACCGTTATGTGAACAAAGTTAATATACCCTTGTGCACAAGTGCGCTCGGGTATAAAAAGGGGGCCCCTACGTTCGAGAAAAAATTAATTTTTTTTTGCGAAATTGCCTTGCAAAAATACTTTTGACTAAGGGGCGTAGAACTTCTTTCTGGTGTGGTCTAATGCACACGTTTGGCACGTTTCGTCAATATGAAATGTTATTTCAAAGCGGCGCTTAAAATTCAATCAGAAGAGCTAAGGGGCATGCCTTGGCCGAGTGATCGCGGTAAAATATCTGGAAAAAGCGTTCTTAAGGGGATAAGTGCACATCTGATATGCCAGAGTAAAATATTTCGAACAGAGTCAATAGCTTTTCCATAGAAAATATTTGTTAACGACAATAGTTATACCAAGGTTGATCCCCCAAAACCCCCGTGCGCACAAGCCTGTAATGTGAATTTTCGAAGCAATATTTTACAGTTGATTATTACCGTAGGTCTCTGTCTTCAACTACTTACCTTCCTATATATCCTGCCTGTGCCATCATTCCATTTCTATCATCCATCACCCTCTGTGGCTGGTTATTTACAACCTTTCCATCGTCATTACCCTTCCAAGTTCCATCATCCTCTTTAAATGATTGGCTCCTGAGTTTTGGCATTAAAAAGTGGAAATTAGATACCATGAAAATAATATAAGAATAATACAAAATGTGTACTTATTGCAAGGGAGAACACAAATTCCGCAGCATTTTTCCATTCCACTCAAATTTTTTTCAGCTTCCCTCATGTCAGCATTAATTTGATCCATTCCCTCTTCAATTCTGTCCAATTGCTCTGAAAAATAACATTGGTTCTGCTTAGATTACATAACCACAAGCAGCAGCTTAACATCATCAAACCGGATAAAATAATACAAATGGTATATATGTATGTATGTACATATTAGTGTTGCCAATTTTTTTTCCAATCATACGGGACAAGCGCATAATTTGACAAATGAGATATAAGGAATTTCTTTAAAAGCCCAACTATAACACATATATTAACAAAGGTGATCCATTTCAACGAACATTATAGTTATAAACTTATGATAAATTTCGTTTATTTCATGACAACACTTTTATATCGGCGATATAGCCACATAAATAAAAGTTTCAAAGCTTGCACAAAGTTCACAAAAACTAATTAAGTTCAAAAAAATGTACATAAAAATTTCGTTTTTTTTAAATTAGATTTCCTTGAAAGATTTTGAGTCCAGTTTTATAGCTCATTTTAGTAAAGGGTGTTTTTTTTAGAAGTGTGGTTTTCAAGGTGGTAATACTTTTTTCGGAGTTGGTATTTTTGACAGCTGTTACTTGATTTATAATGAGTTTGGTTTGCCATTTCATAATGAACAGACTTACTCCGGAACAACGTTTGCCAATCGTGCAAATTTATTACCGCAATAATGGTTCGGTTCGCGCGACGCATCGCACGGTGCGTCCAATATTCGGTCGACATACATCGCCCAGCAGAGCCGGTAATTCGAGCAATCATGGGTCGGTTTCGCACCACGTTTACTCTAGTGGATGCGCGCAAAAATTGCAGCTGTGCCCATCCACTTTATGGAAGATTTTGCGGAAGGATCTTGGTTAGCGGGCTTACAAAATCCAACTCGTGCAAGAATTCTAGCCGAACGACCATCAAGCGCATCGCACGTTCGGTGAATGGGCCCAAAACGAGATGGCCGGGGATCCCGATTTTCACAAGAAAATTTTGTTCAGCGATGAAGCTCACTTTTGGTTGAATGTGTTAATAAACAAAATTGGCGCATTTGGAGTAATGATAATCTACAAGCCATTGGTGAGACGCCGATACATCCTCAAAAAGTTACTGTTTGGTGTGCTCTATAGGCAGAGGGAATCATTGGTCCATATTTCTACAAAAATGAAGCCGGCCATAATGTTACAGCCAATGAGGAACGCTATAGAGCCATGACTAATGACTTTTTCGTGTTTGAATTGGATAATGTTGATGTGGACGACCTTTGGTTCCAACAAGACGGCGCTACATACCATACAGCCAAAGAAACAATCAATTTATTGAAGGAAACTTTTGGTGAGCGCATTACCTCTCGTCGTGGGACTGTGGCGTGGCCTCCAAGATCGTGCGATTTAACACTGCTGCACTATTTTTTGTGGGGTTATGTGAAGTCACTTGTCTACACAGATAAGCCCAAGACGATTGACGCCTTGGAAGAGAATATTCGGCGCGTTATTGCTGACATACGGCCCCAATCGCTGCAACAAGTGGTCGAACCAGCCGGCGGTCACTTGCCCGAAATCATTTTTAAAACATAATGACAAACCCTTATCTTTATAAAAAAGCTAAATTCTTGGCCATAACATTAACCTATATGCGTTTTATTTCTTCTTGATAACCACATGTCTAAAAAAACACCCGTTATAAGAAAGTGCCAATTTCAAGTCGCTAAAAATTTCCATTGATTTTTTCGAATTTTTTGTTGAGAGTATTGCGCATCTTCTTCCATATAAAACTCAGTTTGGTTCATGCGTTTTATGGAAGAAAATTCGCAGCACCCTTCACAAAAAAAATCAACGGTAATTTTTAGCTAAATATATTTCTCTTACAGAGTGGCATGCAATAATGCTTGCTAATGACTTACTCACAATAGTCGCGTTAAAGCATGACCGTGTTGAATAGAAATGTACTGGTTGAAACGAATAATGATATTGTCGAAAATTCGGGAAAAATCTTGTCCCGGAACATTTCATATTTAATGAAAATACGGGACGTCCCGGCAAATACGGGACATATAGCAACGTTAGTGTATAAAGAAAGCAATGTATTCAAATTTGTTTGCGAGAAATTCAAAATAAACGCCGAATTCATCCGACGAATATGAGAATTTTTTTATATAAACTATCTAAGAGAAATTTTGTTCAAAACTGAAATAATGGGCAAAGTTTTAAAAATGTTAAACTAAAGCTATAACTAAAACTCTCATCTCAAGTATTGTTCTAAAGTACGGCTAGGTCTTCTCACCATATAAAAGCTTATTTAAATACAAGAAATTGAAACAAACTGTTACTTTTTAACATTTTAAATTCCCTCATCCTTCTCAAAGCCTTAATGCTGATTGTTTGGGCACCCACAACTTAGGGTCCTTGCATTGTTAAGAAGGTCAAACAAGAAGCAAAAGGCTATAAGTTTAAGTTTGTTTTGTATTCGGGTTTACAGTCAAGTAAATTAGAAAAATGCCTTTTTTATTTTTATGCCGACGTTTCGACCTTTTTATTTTGGTCTTCTTCGGGGCCTAATGACAATAAGGCAAAGAAATAAACATAACTTGTTAGGTCCGCAATCAAACAAAAGTTTAAATAAATAATAGAATGTAAGTCTCAAAGTATCGTCAACCTGACGAAGAAGAACGCAGCGATTTTTAAGTGAGATACTTTGAGACTTACATTCTATTATTTATTTAAACTTTTGTTTGATTGCGGACCTAACAAGTTATGTTTATTTCTTTGCCTTATTGTCATTAGGCCCCGAAGAAGACCAAAATAAAAAGGTCGAAACGTCGGCATAAAAATAAAAAAGGCATTTTTCTAATTTACGTGACTGTAAACCCGAATACAAAACAAACTTAAACAAACAGCAAAACAGTCGGTAGAACAAACATGAACAAAAGGCTATAAGTATGTTTGGATAAAAGATTCAAAGGTGCTAGTGCGAAAGAATGATAAAAGTGCTACCATAGTAGCGACGAAATGGAAGATAAAAAAGCCTAAATGGATAAATTTTTTTTTATTGGTATATAGGGTATATTAATGCTGATGAAATGTGGATGGCTAATCATAATGTAGTTAACTCTGAAATAGTACAAAGTAATATAAAGTATAGTGTAAATAAGCTTTTATTTGCCAATAGCAATGAAAATATCAATATACCAGGGACCGTAATGGTTATAAATTTTATTATAAAAATCAGTATTTAATCGTTATTAACTGAGTTTTATTTTTTGCTCATAACATAATGATTATTTTTTGAGTTTTATTTTTTGCTCGAAAATAATCGTTATGTTTTGAGTTTTATTTTTGCTCGGAAAATAATGGTTACGTTTTAAGCTTTATTTTTTGCTCGGAATATAATGGTTATTTTTTGAGTTTTATATTTTGCTCGGAAAATAATCGTTATTTTTTTAGTTTATTTTTTGCTCGGAAAATAATCGTTGTTTCTTGAGTTTTATTTAGGGTTCGAAATTTCAGACTTTGGTATCGATTCTGAGTACTCATTCTGGCATCGAGCTCATGGTATCGATACTCTAAAATTATCAGGGAAAAAGTATCGATACTACTCAGCATCGGACTCATTAAAATACGTTTTTTGGGATACTAAAATTATTTTCTTCTTCAATCGTATATCTAGTTATTTCCTGAAATTAAAACAATAGACATTTAAATTATTTGATTTTTATTTCATTGCATAACTTACTTCCACGTACATACATAAATACACACATATTTATTTTCACGAATTTTAAATTTTATTAAGAATTTTTGGAAACTTTGTGGGTATGCATTTTTGTAGCCTATTAAGTTTTGTTTAATATTGTGCAAGTTTTAATTAAAAGTCAACGGTAGTAGGCTACACGGAAAGTTGAATAGCCCACTATAACTTGAATGGAGATCTCCCTAAGTGAGGAATAAAAGAGAACTCCCCTTGACCTGATTTCGGATCAATAAGAGAGATTTGTGGACTTTTTACTCCCTTATTACTCGTTTAGGAGTCAATAGGGACATCTCCTAAGCTAGCAATTAAAGAATGCTCCCTGAGGCATGATTTGGGAGCAATAAGCGAGATTAGTCGGTTTTGCACTCCTGTATTACTCGCTTAGGAGTATAATGGGAGATCTCCCAAGTGAGCAATAAAAGTATCCTCCGGGATACATGATTTCGGAGGTATAAGCGAGATTTGTTGGTTTTGTACTCCGTTATTACTCGCTTAGGAGCAAAAATCGATGTCTCCTAAGCGAGCAATCCAGGAGTATTCTTTTT